CTTATTGATAATGATGAAAAAGTAGCTTCTTCTAAGAAACATACCCAATTCAAGACTAGAATGCTAAAACCATACCCTATTTAAGACCAAAATGGCCAAAATCGATACCCTATTTATGACCAAAACGGCTGAAAACCCTACCCTTTGGGGCCGTACATACCTATATAGCCCATATAAGGGTGTACTCCGCCGGGGTCCAAGTTGTCAGTTGTAACGATAGAAAAACAATTAATAAAAAATCTTAGTTTGGGACCACATGAAGCGTACCCACCTCCATCATCTCCGTAATATTGTTGCAGGAGTTATTTCATACATTTCTTTGTAGTTTCGGCCGAGGAGGAAGCTAATGTCTGTAATAGTGGGTTGTCCGCAAGGCGCCGAGAGTTGACTGTATTAATGAAACCAAAAAGTTCCTAACGCCAAACGGTTGGCATACAGCGACGAAGAGAGGGGTCGGCTATCCTCTTTTTATTTGACTCCATCCCAGCTTTATAAACACTGTCTATGTTCGCTGACGGGGGAACGAATTTACTGGAAACTGATAGAGCACTCGAGAGCATAAATCTGAATGACTAAACCAACCTTTTAAGCTGCTCTTATTAAATTGATAGCCTTCTTTCCCATCCGTAACTCCCCTGCTCGGTCCCCTGACCATCGATTGGACATTGAAATAGTGTGACTCGAAGAAAAAGTAGCTACAATGACTAACACAAACGCGATAAGAAAAAGAAGCTTCTCTCTCTGCCGAAGTTGTTCCTCTTGACGCTGAACCTGTCTTCCCGAGAGAGTTTAAACCGCCGGGGATTTTGTGACACGTCCGGCTGCAACGCTGGCTATGGTTTTAGCGTTCAGCGATTATGTAAACTCCTGTTAAAGTTGTTTATTAAAGCGCGAGCGACCGAAACATTGATGAATAGTAAAGCAAATAACACGAATATTGAACGTTTGCTTGTGACACGTGTCATCTCACGAGATACCGCTGTACATTGCCGTTCCCGTGAAAGGAGGAGGGGCAAAAAATGTGTTGAACATGAAAGATGATCCAGTGTGATCTGATTCTTCATGCAGGGTATAAAGCCGCTTTGGTTTATAGCAAAGTGCAG